ATGTGGGGTCTTGAGGCAACTGATTTTGCATTATAGCAGGTGTTTACGTGACAAAATATTTATTAGATAATGACTTATATGAGATGATTTGCCGCACTTAAATTACAAACTATAAAACACATGGAATTAGGCCACCCTGTTTGCTTATAAGAGTCTTTAACTTGAGTATGATTTTTCAGTACTCTTTCCATCACTGATGGTCGCCTAGCATTCTACAAACCACCGCCCCCTGCCAAACCCCACCCCCGGTCTGTGATAAAATTTTCGGTAACACGTTATATAACTACACACCAAGAACCATTCATTAACCATAAGCAAATAGTGAATGTGTTACCTGTTAAGCATTAACTCTACATTAATAAACATTAGTAAACTTTTTATAACTGCTGATACAAATGCTGAATTATTGACTTACAACAACATCTATAATGTGTTTAATAATTGTGTTTTCATACTTTGTTAATGATTGATTTGTCATTACTAAATTAACTTTTGCATTATTTACCAACCAGTTACTTAAGCATAGTAGGTTGTTTTATTAAGATCATTCAGAATGAGTTAGTAAATTATTAAAAAAATATTAAAATTAACATTTATAATTCTTATTATTCAGACATATACTAATACTTAATTTGTATGTTAATAAATGCTTTATTAACTCAACTTCATCCAGTTTTGTGACCTAATCTAAAGTGAGAACTATGTATGCTTTATAAATCCATTTTAATGACAATTAAAGGCTTAACAGGAAAAAAAAGAACATAAACAACATTATTTATTACTATTCGTTTGAAGATACACAGATGAAACTGTACTTGAAATTAAAAATTAATTTTTGCAAACTAATTAAAAATAAAATTACTGTACAGTTTAAACATTGCATCTTATTATATTGCTAAATTATTATATTGTTGTTGTCTTTTATCCAATTTTATGTTATATTTTGACACTCCTGTTTTTTGGCAATGCTTAAACTTTACAGTAATTTTACTTTTTAGATATGACTTCAAAGATTATTGTTCATTTGATACCAAGCCTTTAACTGTCATTTACAAGGGCTTTATAAAGCATAAATAGTCCTCACTTTAGATTAGGTCACAAAACTGCATGAAGTAGAGTTAATAAAGCATTTATTAACATACATAGTAACCATTACTATATACCTGAATAACACGATATATAAATGTTGATTTCAATAGTTTATTAATCATTGATTAACTCATTCTGAATTATCTTAAAAACCACCAACTACTCTTAAATACAAATGGTTTGTAAATAATGCAAAACTTCAAGTAATGAAAAATAAATCATTAACAAAGTATGAAAGTACAATCATTAAGCCCATTTTATATGTGGTTGTAAGTCAAGAATAGAGCATTTATAGCTGCTGTTATAAACTGCTTACTAACGCTTATTAATATAGAGTTAATGCTTAGCAAATAATGAGTTCACTAGATACTGGATACTGATGGGCATAGATGTATATATCTATGAGTGACGGGAAGCTATGCTAAGGTTAACTAGCTTAGTATATATCTTGCTGTCTGCAAATGACAGTAATTTAAACGTACCATAAAACTCCTATAAGTGCATACAATTCGACACAACTACACAAGCATCTTTTTAACCTTTATAACCGAACGTTAACGTTACTCTGTCAACAGTCTATTGTCTTAATTACCGCGCTAACAGAGCTAACTTACGTAAACAGAGAGCAACAGATTGCACACGTCAATAATGCAGCGTAATGGAATAATATACCGATTAAACTCCGCTTTAAATATGCTACAAGTTTATAAACTGCCTCTGGAACCCAGTTCAGATACAAACAATTATTTAACAAAAATAGTAATGCAGTAAAGTATTTTTCGCTCTGCCAAGCCTTCTCTGTTGCTGTGAGGAGCAGCAGCCTGCGTCAGTCACCTTTTACCCCGCCCCACAACTCAATTACTCACGCGGGCATGCACTGTGGTCTCATGAGGAAACGCAGCTTTTTGATATTGTGTTTTTCTTGTTCCCGAATACAAATAATTTTTCAAGTATTTGTTCGAAATAAGTATTGGTAAAAACACACTATTCATGCTTATGCGAATACCGTATTCGGGTTCAGCTCCACCCATAATATATATATATATATATATATATATATATATATATATATATATATATATATATATATATATATATATATATATATAAATTTTTTTTTGCTTTGCATCGCACCTCCTGCGATGTGACTATCGCGGATGCGCACATCGCGATTTCGATGCTGAAACGATGTATCGTGCAGCACTAGGCTGTAGCTTCAATTTTTATTTTGTTTTCATTTTTAATTACGCTCACATCCTGAATTTTTCCCTCATATGCATAATACAGACCTTTATGTCTGCTTCTGTCTGTCTGAAAGCAGTAGGCTTTGTCATTTTCCAGAAATTATTCACTATTTCCCTAGGGAGAACATAAATTCATAGGGGAGCGCTACGGCTGATACTGAAAGCTTGTCAGAGAAAGAAAAGAGGGGGCTGGGACTTTGCGAAAAGTCAGTTGTGCCTCTTTCACACAGCAAATGTTAGGGAAAAAACAATTAAATAATCAACGTTTTCATAAATTGTTTTTATTTTATTTATTAATCGTATGCTATTAGAATGCTCCAAGCAAGTGTGTTTTAATCAAGTGCCACAGATTCGCTGCTCATCTGTTGGGATACAGAATCATGAGAGAGAATTTCACTGACCTGAAAGCTCCCATGAGAAAACCCATGACATTCCCCTATTCCCATGATATATGGCCATTACTCAGACCCTTCAGGATTTTGCAATTCTGCGAGCACTGATTTTAAAAATAGTGCTTTACTGAAACATGTAGACAGAACGGGACAGAGAGTAAGTTCCCCCTTTTACAAATGAGTCAATAGCATATTGGTTTTATCACAGCTTGGACAGTAATGTCGAGTTGCATGATTTTAGCCCAGACATTGACTCGCCGACAGCTTTTGAGAAATCTCAGACAAATGCCTGAAAACACAGGCAAATCGCTGCACCATTGAGATATTTGGCTTGCTAATTATCTGGAGCTGTCGGCGATTCAAAATCATGCCATGCGAAATGTGTTCTGATTGAAATCAGATCACCTACAGCCAATGAGAAAGCAGCATCCACTAGTATGGGTTTCTACAGGCCAGCTGGAAGATGGGGTAGAAGTTAAAAAGATATACTACATGACCTTGTTTGGTTCTGAGTTGTAGTTTTCAGACTGAGACAAAGTTGTCTGCGATTCTTCCTATTGTGAAGTCATGCAGTGTGAAACCCCCTGTCACCGATCCATCTTGCAGTGTAAACAAAGCAACGACGAAACGATACTTCAGATAGTCATGCAGTGTTAAAACATCTGTCTCACGACTACTTTGAAAATCATGTAGTCTGAACTTGGCATAAGTGGGATTGAGCTCAGGCGCATATACAGTAGCAATAGCATTTCAACTGGGGCAGGACATGTCAGATACTAAAGATCTTTTAATTAATCAAAAGATTTGATGAGAAACATAAGTACGAGGTGACATCCAGGAAATCGTTGATCCATTTAAGATGGAAGTGACAAACTGCAAACTTTGGACTGCTTGTTTAAACCATAAGTCGTTCTCTCAGAGAATGACAAACCCTTGCTGTAGCTCTGATACAAAGTATCATTCATTCATTAATATTTTTTCAGCTTAGTCCCTTTATTAATCTGGGGTCGCTACAGTGGAATGAACCGCCAACTTGTCCAGCACGTTTTTACACAGCGGATGCCCTTCCAGCTGCAGCCTTTCTCTGGGAAACATCCACACACACACACACATTCACACACACACTCATACACTACGGACAATTTAGCCAACTCAATTCACCTGTACCACATGTCTTTGGACTGTGGGGGAAACCGGAGCACCCGGAGGAAACCCACACAAGCAAGGGGAGAACATGCAAACTTCACACAAAGGCGTCAACTGACCCAGCCGAGGCTCGAACTAGCGACCTTCTTGCTGTGAGGCAACAGCACTACCTACTGCGCCACCGAATTACCTACAAATATTATTTATAAAAGAAATTCAAAAGCACTTCAGTGTTTGGGTGCTCTAGGGTAATTAGTCTACTATTTGTACTGAATTGTGTATACTCCATGCAAAGTGTGAAGTTGATTGGTTGGGTTTAGTCACATGACTCAAAATGAGCTTGTGGCACTTGGAAAAAGTTGAGATGTTTTCAAGTAGTCGAGTGGCATGTGGACTCCCTATTTGAGCTTCTCCATTATAAATAACAAACTTACATTCACAAAAGACAAGATGTGTGAACTCCTCTAAAGTAACGTTCTGATGGAGCTACAGCACCAGTCACTTTACAGATTTACAAAACAACATTCCAAAATGTGGCGGCATAGTGGCTCAGTGGTGAGTCGCCTTACAACAAGAAGGTCACTGTCTCGAGTCCTGGCTGTTTCCAATTTTCCAAACAGTCCAAATACATGCCATAAGCGAATTGTATGACCTAAAATGAGTGTAGTGAATGAATGTATGTAAATGTGAGTGTATGGGAGTTTCCCAGTACTGGGTTGCAGCTGGAAGGGCATACGCTGCCTAAAACATATGCTGGAATAGTTGGAGGCTCATTTCACTGTGGCGACCCCTGATAAATAAGGAATAAAAAGGACGGCCAATGAGGGAAGGAATTATAAAACGTAACCCTCTTCATTCTGTGGGCTTGGATCTGCCCTGTTCTGCGATGAATGGAAAATACAACAAACTGAAAGGATCACCTTCAGGAGCACAACTTCAAATAATTATCCATTGTCTTTTGTGCTGCCTTGTGTTAGGGAAATTTCTTGAAATGTAGGTCACCAAGTTCTATCTCACGCACAACACTAAGAATATAATGCTTTCCAGACAGCACCTTTTGTCTCAGAGACGTTGATTATATTTTCATCAATATGCCCACATCACTGTACATAAGCTGTGCATTACTCACCTTCAGAGGAGGCACTGGAAGGGGCTTGTTTTCTTTGTCCAGGGAAATGTAAGTGAAAAAGGCTGTGACCGCCCTATATTTCCCTTTCTCAGCTTCCACCAGTGGGTCAGCATCCACAAAAACTTCAATCTCCATTGACTTATTACTGGTGAAGGTCATTCGCCCGGAAACAGTAATGACACAGCCTGTAAGAGTCACATAATGTCAAGAATTACCACTCATGAACACATACGATTACATCATTTTCAATGTTTGACAGAGCTAATCGTGTTTCTATAGAATCACACTAGCTAAAGTATGTTTCCATCCACCTATTTTTATGCACATTTTTTGTATGTGATAACCGGGTAGACTAAACTTTTTATTCAATAAGAAAAGAAATTGCACAATGATGGAAAGACTTTTATCCAATAAACTTTAGTATTTGATAATAAAAATAAGTAGGGTCTGTCTTCACACAGCAAGACAGAGGCATAATATGAAGGGCTGTAACTTGTAGGCCTAGTAGAGGTGAAACTTAAAGTTATGGAAACAAGTGTCAAAAATATGTTGTCGACAAGATGGCACTGTACATCAGTTAAGGTCTACACCTACTCCAAACCTAAACCCAACCATCACATTTATTAAACCCAACCATCATCGCTATTAACGTCTACACTTACACCACACCTAAACCCAACCATCAGTTAGTAACGTCTATACCTACCACAAACCTAAACCCAACCATCATTGTATGACGTCTACACTTTACCCAACTCTTAACCCAACCGTGATTGTTTAATGTCTGCACCTCTCCAAACCCTAAAACCAAGCATTACAGTTATTAACATCTACACCTTTCCCTAACCCAACCATCACAGTTATTGACATCTACACCTTCCCCAAACCTAAACCCAATTATTAGTTTTAAATGTCTACACCTTCCCCAACCCTTAACCCAACCATCACAGTTATTAATTTCTACACCTTCCCCAAACCTAAACCCAATAATCACAGTTGTAAACGACAACACCTTCCCCAAACCTTAACCCAACCATCACTGTAATTAACGTCTACACCTTCCCCAAACCTTAACCCAACCATCACTGTTATTAACGTCTACACCCTCCCCAAACCGTAACCCAACCATCACAGTTATAAACAACTACACCTTCCCCAAACCCTAACCCAACCATCAGTTATTAACGTCTACAGCTTCCCCATGCTCTAACCCAATAATCACAGTTATAAACGACTACACCTTCCCCAAACCTTAACCCAACCATCACAGTTATAAACAATTACACCTTCCCTAACCCCTAACCCAATAATCACAGTTATAAACGACTACACCTTCCCTAAACCTTAACCCAGCCATCACAGTTATAAACAACTACACCTTCCCTAACCCCTAACCCAATAATCAGTTATAAACGACTACACCTTCCCCAAACCTTAACCCAACCATCACAGTTTTAAACAACTACACCTTCCCTAACCCCTAACCCAATAATCACAGTTATAAACGACTACACCTTTCCCAAACTTTAACCCAACAATCACAGTTATTAACGTCTTCCCCAACCCTTAACCCAATAATCACAGTTATAAACATCTACACCTTCCCCAAACCTAAACCCAATAATCACAGTTATTAACATCTACACTTTTCATAAACCTAAACCTAATAATCACAGTTATTAACGTCTATACCTTCCCTAAACCTAATAATCACAGTTATTAACATATACACCTATCCCAAATCAAAACCCAATAATCACAGTTATAAACGTCTACACCTTCCCCAAATCTAAACCCAATAATCTCAGTTATTAACGTCTACACTTTCCATAAACCTTAACCCAATAATCACAGTTATTAACTTCTACACCTTCCCTAAACCTAAACCTAATAATCACAGTTATTAACATCTACACCTTCCCCAAACCTTAACCCAATAATCACAGTTATTAGCGTCTACACCTTTCCCAAACCTTAACCCAATAATCACAGTTATTAACGTCTACACCTTTTCCAAACCTAAATCCAACTATCACAGTTATTAACGTCTTATATTATTTGCTGATTAATAAGCACCCCATGTGGAACTCAGAATCTGCGTCTCATTTTGGAGTCTGCTGCTGTCCACCGGAGATCGCATTCGGTCACAGACACATGCTTTGAGAGTCTTCCAGACTAAATGAATGAAATACGCTGTTTTCCCATCAAGGCGACCCGGGGTGCAGAAATATAATTGGCTAAACTGGTTTTGGATGGGACTAAAACAAAGACAGTTGTTCCGGCGTGTAATGCACATTTTCAAATCAGAATATCTAACTTCAGCATTGTTTTTCAGATAAACAAGAATGTTCACTTGGCATGTTTCTCAAATATCTGCAAACATATTATGGTATTTTTATCCTTTAGAAGAGTCAAAAACTTACATACAGCACCTTTAAATTACACTTTAAACTGAATACTAGTATATGCAATTTTGTTCAGTATAACAAAAAAGCTCTTATAACTACAAAAAAGCTCATAGGAGGGTTAACACCACCATATTTGCCCCATGAAATTGCATTTAATCATGCAAAACATGCCTTCTCCCACTCTCTCTAGTACAAATGCACAAACAAATGTATGTCAAGCTTCACTTTACAAGGCTAAAGATCATTTTGGGCTCCAATTTGGTTGTAGTTTTACCTAGCATTAGCAAACCATAGTAGATCACATATATGTATTTGATTTAAAGCTGTATTGACATTTCTAATAAGCCAAACAACACAGATCTTCAGATAATGCTTGCAGAGCGGTATTCTGCTTCTTTGTAAAAAACTAAAGGATTTACAGGATAAACTTTGATTAAAAAGCTTGGTGCGAAGCTCATAGTAAACAGAATGCAAATGCCACGGAGAATGAGAGAATTAATAAGGCTGCGTGAATTAGAAGGTTCCAGCTTTGTATACGCGGGGGGAGGGTGACCATGTGTCACTCCAGCCCCCTCCAGCTTTCTATCAGATGACTTTGATCTTATCCATCAAGGTAAGATCAAAGAATATCACTTGCTCCCTTTATTTATTTATTTTTTTGATTTTGCTGGCCCTGTCAGTGATGTGGCTTTGACACCTGGCGCTGTTAAACTCAGGAATGGACAAACCTCATTATCCCCTATATGTTTAATGGATTCTGGGGGAAAAAGATAATACTTAAATGTACTTTTATGAATTTAATGGAGCCCTGAGGTAGATACAGAATGGTTTAATAAGACCTTAAAACACTGAATTGCTAGTTACAGTGTAGAAAAGTGGATCTCGCTCATTTAAAAAGCATTCATGGCAATTTGCCATTTAGAGCTATTCTGAGCAAGAAAGGATGGTTGGAAATTGTTAGGTCCATTTCCTGCCCTCTTTGATGTAAATGTCTGGTCTTGATTTCCATGGAAACGTAGCCTGAGGACAGATATATTATTTTGTTCTTTTATTGTCTATCGATTCAATTCACCTGGTCGATTGTCATGCGCATCTCGTCAGAGAAGCAGTGTTGTGTGAACAGTTATATATTTTCTCCATAGGCCTGGAGGCGCTGTCATGCGAAAAACTCCAAATACCCACAAAGAAGTAACCCAGTAAATCTCCATAGTTGTTGATGAATCTCCAGCAGAAAAAGGTGGTTTGCCATCTCTAGGTTGGAGGAAAGTCGTACCCCAGGTGGAAGAGTTTAAGTATCTCGGGGATTTGTTTACGAGTGAGGGAAGGATGGAACGTGAGATTGACAGGCGGATCAGTGCAGTGGCAGCAGTAATGCGGTCGATGTACCAGTCCATTGTGGTGAAGGAGCTGAGCCGAAAGTCAAAGCTCTCGATTTACCGGTCAATCTACGTTCCTACTCTCACCTATGGTCATGACCGAAAGCACAAGATCTCGGATACAAGCGGCAAAAATGAGTTTCCTTCGCAGGGTGGCAGGGCGTACCCTTATAGACAGGGTAAGGAGCTCTGTCACCCGGGAGAAGCTCGGTGTGGAGCCGCTGCTCCTCCACATCGAGAGAAGTCAGCTGAGGTGGCTCGGACGTCTGTTTCAGATGCCTGCAGGACGCCTACCTAGGGAGGTGTTCTAGGCATGTCCCACCGGGAGAAGGCCTCGGGGAAGGCCCAGAACACGCTGGAGGGACTATGTCTTTTGGCTGGCCTGGGAAAGCCTCGGGATGCCCCCGGAGGAGCTGGAGGAAGTGACTGGGGAGAGGGAAATCAGGGGTTCTCTTCTAAAACTGCTGCCTCCGCAACCCAGCCCCAGATAAACAAATGAAAAATGACATGACAGTTAATTTGTCTCATTTAAATAATCTACACTTTTTATTTCAGTAATTATTATAAATTTTGGCAATAATGTCTATTTTTATTCTTTTTTTCTGTTATTTATTTCTGATTCGCTGAATATTTAGAGAGAGAGAGAGAGAGAGAGAGAGAGAGAGAGAGAGAGAGCAGCCTTTACCACTCAGTGGGTGCACATCTTCTAAATAGCATGAGAAAAATAGTGGATTTACATTATTTAAACAGCCTTTTTAATAACTTTAACCCATTGAAAAGAAAAGGTGTATAACAGTGTCACAATAAATAAAAATATATTTAAAAATTACATTGTATTTTGTTTGTCGCATGTAGTTAACCATTTATTTGCTGTGGGTAAAAGATGTGTTTCAATCCGACTACCAACGCAAGTATATTTCAAATGTGTGGAAAGCACTGCCAGACATGGCGCAGAACGAATCTACGCTGTTTTTCAGCCTTCCTAAAGCACAGGTACTCTCTCAATAAAATTCATGTCAGCCATAACCAATGAAACTGGAGTCACTAAGTAGACAAACATCCCTCCCAAGAGGCGAATCCACATCTATTGTAAAGTGAATTTGACACGTGAATAAAGCAAACAAACTCAAAATGTTTAACGTCTGAACTCCCCATAATAGTCACAATACTATGAAATCACCTCACAGAAAGCTTAATTTAAAATACTATACACAAGTTATGAAGTGAGCTTGGTGTAAAAATGGTATTTTGTCTTGGTACTTTGGCTTCTTGACGTAGAAGCATTTATTCATTATTACAGACTGGTTTTCAATCTCAATAGCCCCTTCCACACATACAGACTTTTCTGGAAAATTACTGATAAATTTACGGAAAAAGATCATTTGTGAACAGGCCCTTTTA